CAGGAGGCTCGAGGGAACACTGACTTCCCAAGATCACTCCTTGGAAGTCAGTCTAACCTTGGGCCTCCTGCCTGGGGGAGGGGGGATGTAAATGTATAACTGAACCTCTTGGGCCTATAGCCTAAAAAGGGTGGCCATGCACTTGGACAGCAGGGAAAAAGCAGACAATAAACAGAGCTTAGGAGTGACCCAAGAAGGTTGAACTGTCAATTAGTCTTAGGCTGACTACAGTCAAGAATAACTAGATTTAATGAGTCACTCCAGTGGGGGAGGCAGGGTGGCTACACTTGCATGAGTCCAATCAAAACACTGGTTCTCTTTAAAGGGACAGATTAGGTAAGACTTCCCAGCTAAGACTCAGGCCAAGGTACAACAGCTTCACTCATAACAAAGTATGACCAATAAATTATATTACCATTTTTTAGCTCACATCACACTATTGACTGATATATTTCAAGGACACCTTCAGTGAGAACACAAATCTAGCAAATGCCTGAACTGCCTGTTATACCCATACCAATCATATTCTTTTGGCTGGTGAGTAGAACAGTGCCAGATGCTTTACCTTCAGATAGTGTGATACAAGGCCAACATCTTTCTTATACAGTAAGTTCTAGTGACTTCTCAATTCCCCATAAACTGAACACGCAAGTTAGTTTGAACTTCATTTCCACTGACTGCCATCGAACAACGACGTCTGTTTAATAGTCAATGTCAGAGCAAGGTTTGTTTTGGACATTTCGTATATTTTCCATCATATTTTGTTTTTCTCTTTCATGAAATATTAATGCCAGTGCGCATTACGCCCTTTATAAACCAAGAAAACAAACTATTCCCTTCGGATGAGACGTGGTCCAACAGATCTGAGATTAGAGCACAACACAGAATTGTGAGCAGTAATATACTGTACTACAGAAGAATTGGGGACCCATCAGGCACTATCTATCTATGTTTTTCTACATATCCATCATTTTTTAAGACTATCTTTCTCTCTGTTTATCTTTTTTTCCTTTGCTTGTGCAATTTTGATTTCCTAGACATGGCACTGTGCAGTCTGAGTTCAGTGACTCTTATTATTTTTTATATGAAGTACAACACATTTTACAGAATCATTTTGCTCTCCTCACCTCCCTTGGATGAGATGTCTTCAGTTTTTTTTCCTGCAGTGGTGGATTGAGTCTCTTAAAGCACTACTTACCATTTCATTTCCACCATTAAAGAAAAATAAATCTGAACTCCGCACCCCTGCCTGGTGTTAAGGCTGATCTCATTATTCTACAGTGTTTTGCTTTATTATAGAACAAATATGAGTTTATTGAAACTAAAAGCTTTTGGGGTTTTTTCTGAATATTTTCCCACATGCAAAGGAGATGTGAGATCAGCACACCTATCCTCACTACTGTCAGTGTGCCATCATGGCGAGATGACAAGGTATAGAGGTCACTTTGCTGTACATCCCTAACCACTTGGCGATGTACTGCTACAGAGCGGCCGCCGTGTGCAGAATCATGTGATCATACATACGTGATTCTGCATGCTGGCGCCCCCAGCAGAAGCAGATCAGCACGATAGTGACAGCTCTTTGGATCTCATCTTGAGAGTTGACAGCAACAGATTCCAAATGCAAATAGCAAACTTGAAATGGACTCTGGACCTTTTATCTGCTCATTGTAATTGGGATAATGAGGGAATAACACACACCTGGCCATGGAACAGCTGAGAAGCCAATTGTCCCATTACTTTTGGTCCCTTAACAAGTGGGAGGCACATATGCAAACTGTTGTAATTCCTACACCGTTCACCTGATTTAGATGTAAATACCCTAAAATTAAAGCTGACAGTCTGCAGTTAAAGCACATCTTGTTCGTTTCATTTCAAATCCATTGTGGTGGTGTATAGAGCCAACAATGTTAGAATTGTGTCGATGTCCCAATATTTATGGACCTGACTATATATATATATATATATATATATATATATATTCGATCCTGATGTATCAACAGCTTGAGATCCTAAAACGCCAAGACAGTGTAAATTCCCCCAAACTACCCTGTCAGGGAGGGCTTGCCCTTAGTTCAGGTCGCATCACATACATATGAGCATGTGCAGACTGGCAACTGGCTGAGCAGATGTACACAAATATGTGCATAGGCATGCACACGTACGCATGCGCACTCGCACAAACGAGCGCACACCTGTCACCAAGGCTGGCGCCAAACTGCCTATTTAAAAGGAGCTACTGCACTGGCCAATTGCTGTTTGGTCTGCAGCTTCTGTGCGTGTATATCCTGACTCCTGTGTCTGATCTTGACCTGGCTTGCCTCTGGCTCTGCTTGTTCACTACCTGCCCTGACCTCAGCTTGTTCTCCGGATTCTACCTCTGTCTACTGCCCTTGCCTGATCTGCCTCTACCATTGCTGACACTGGCCTGTGACTTGACGTCTCTCTCGTTTGCCGTTTATGCCTGATCTGCCTGTCTGTTGCCAACTCGGCTCGTCTGACCCTGCATCCAGCTCATCCAGCCTGTTACAGCTCTGCAGTCCAGCACATCTTCATCTGGTGCATCTGCCTGCTGCCAGTTTGTTTCCTACCAGCCTGCTCTGCCATGACGTCTAGATGCTGCCAGCTCATCTACTACCAGCCTGCTCTGCCATGATGTCTACCTGCTGCCAGCTCGTCTACTACCAGCCTGCTCTGCCGTGACGTCTACCTGCTGCCACCTCGTCTACTACCAGCCTGCTCTGACGTGATGTCTACCTGCTGCCAGTTCGTCTACTACCAGCCTGCTCTGCCGTGATGTACCTGCTGCCAGTTCGTCTACTACCAGCCTGCTCTGCCGTGACCTCTACCTGCTGCCAGCTCGTCTACTACCAGCCTGCTCTGCTGTGACCTCTACCTGCTGCCAGCTCGTCTACTACCAGCCTGCTCTGCTGTGACCTCTACCTGCTGCCAGCTCGTCTACTACCAGCTTGCTCTGCCGTGACCTCTACCTGCTGCCAGCTCGTCTACTACCAGCCTGCTCTGCTGTGAAGTCTACCTGCTGCCAGCTCATCTACTACCAGCATGCTCTGCTATTACATCTACCTGCTGCCAGCTCGTCTACTACCAGCCTGCTCTGCCATGACGTCTACCTGCTGCCAGCTCATCTACTATCAGCTTGCTCTGCTGTTACGTCTACCTGCTGCCAACCTGTCCTGTTCTGGGAATTCTTCCAGCAAGACCTCGGCTATTACCCATGCAGACCACCGGACTGATCACGGCACTCATACCTCGCCATGCTCTCATGGTAGCTGTTTCACTTCCAGTGACTCCTGAGCCAGAGCTGTACGAGAGGCCTTCCTCTGCACATCAGGCTCACTTCCAGGTATGTGACAGTACCAATTACCCAGTGCAACAGGGTCATTTAAACAGGCAGTTTGGCGCCAGCCTTCATGACAGGTGCACGCCGCCCGTTTGTGCGAGTGTGCATGCGCTCATGCACATGTGCGCGCCTATGCACATATTTGTGCACATCTGCCCGGCCAGTTGCCAGTCTGTGCATGTGCATATGTATGCGCTGTGATACTTCACCTGAGCTATGGGCAAGCCTTCCCTGACAGACCCCTTTTTGGAAAGAAGACAGAATGATTCATGGCAAGTTTTTTTTAGTATTTTGTCACAATTTTTTGGAAAATGAAGAAATTGAATACATTTTTTTCCATTTTTTTACAGCATCGTCATATGATTAATGTGGTGGTGATCAGGGGCACTGACTGGTGACAGTATTTAAAAATAAATAAATCACGTTTTATTCAATTTTTAAAAAAATTTTTTCCATTTTTTTTTAAACATATAAAAAAAAAAATTTTACTATTATTATTTACTATTTTTTACAATTTTTTTCATACTTTCATCAGAGTAGTTTTGTGTTATCATAGTAGCACTGTACTACTCTGAGGGAATAGTCAAAGATTTTTTTTGTTGTTGAATGAATGAAGATCATTGTAACAGCAAAGTTTTGAACTGTTCTGAATGGGTTAACCATTCATGACAGTTGTGATCACTAGTTATCTGTGATTGGCTACAGCTAATCGGCTAAGCACATGGTACAGGGTGCTGTGATTGTCTCAGGTACCATGTGATAGCTGTGGGCAAATCACAGCATAGTCAACACAGCTGTTATGAATTAATTACTTTATAACAGCTTTGTTGATATTGTGGTCATGTGATCGCATAGTGATCACATGATCACCACAGTGGTCGAGCGAGGGGGGGGGGGGGGGGGAGGTAGCACTGTGCCCTTAGCCTAAGCAGTCACAATGTCATACATATATGTGATTTTGCCTGCAGGTACCGCAGTAAACATACTGTGACTGGTCAGCAAGTGGATAATCCCTTTTAGATGTCTTTTGATTAAAGGAGAATAACTGTTCAGTATTTTATGAAACCTTCATACTCTTGGGGCATTTCAGAAAAGACTAACAGAAATTAAAGTATCAAGACACTTGTCAAGTCATATATCTACCCATGATAAAAATATCACATTACCATCAAAGGACTGTTTACACGCTAATGTGTTATAAACTCTTTTACCAGGCAAAATGACTGTAGTTATCATGGACATTTTTATAAAGAATAAACAGTAAAACAATGTTCCAATGTATATATGTTGATCAGATACAAAAAGACTTAATCCGTACAAAATATCCTATTGCCAAAAGAGGTTTCGTAATATTACTACAGTTGTTTAGTAGTAATCACTATTGTTAGACATATATGTGTGTTATAATGTAGCCATACCAAAGTAGTAGTTTAACGTGTGCAAATCTCTTTAAGTAACAGTGTTTGTAGGGTGCTCTGCAACGTTCTTGGGCATCCAGTGGAGGGAAGGGAGACAGGTGACATGGGAGAACAATAAGCACTGGAGCAGCTCTTCAAGAGTGGAAACAGACTCTAGTAATAGTAAATAGCAAGGAAGGCACCTCTAAGTGCAGTATGCAGCAGCTTATTAATTGGAAAAGATTAACCCCCCTGGCGGAATTCCTGAGTGTAGCTTGGGGTAAAGTTTCAGTACATACTGTACTGAACATTCGGGCTTACCATGCAGCTCTGCTCCAGGATCCCTCGATCACTTACCTTGTCCTGCGCTCCCGCGATGTCCCTCCTGCAGTGTTCCCGGCAATGTAATCCGGCGGATGCCAGCATCTGTCATCTGGGTTCTGTCCCCTGCGAGCGTCGGGACGTACGGGGACGGAACGGCGGGAAATTTTGAAAATGACAAAAAGTGACATTTACTAAAATCACTAAAATCACATAGTAAAAAATTTACTGTATCAAACCATTTCACATACATTTTGTCCCGAGTGCTTTGTCCTGCGCCCTGCCTGCATTTTTACTGTTCTTTCTGCTTGGAAACTGAGAAAAGTCCATGGCGTCCAAAAAGCGTCCCTTTAGGTCAAAAAAGCGGTTTTAGACCGGCTAGAGAACAGCGATAGTAAATCAGAACCACTTGCAGAATTGAGTGATAATGATTTGTGGGGGAAATTCCACATCAGACATTGAAAACGATTTTGCGACTTTGCTCAGTGATGTGCGAACTTGGCGCTCTATTTCAAATTTCAGTGTTTTTGGTTTGATTATATTATTGAATTAAATTTATTATTATTATAGTATTATTTTTTATGATTATTTATTAAATTATAATTTATGATTTCGTGTTTCAAGTTGTATCCTACCCGGGATGTTTACTAGACTCTTGTTCGGACAGATTTCAGTGAGTTATTCATAAAAATTACAGGCCTAAATAACAAAAATACATATTTCCATGCAAAAAAAATTTACCGCTTTGAGCACAGAAATATGGACATAATCAGACCGCTAGGGAGGTTAAAAGTCTTACAAGATAGCAATCAGATAAAAGCTCATCAGGTATTATACCTGATGAGCTTTTATCTGACTGCTATCTTGTAAGTGCTTTTAACCTTTTACAATTCAATAAACTGCTGCATACTGCACTTAGAGGTGCCTTCCTTGCTATTTACTGTTACTAAAATCTCTTTATGTGTATCTTTAATATAAGGCATGGCGAGTTTTTGAGGTTGTAATTTTTTGTATATATGTTAATCATATATACAAAAATCTGTACAAAATATCTTACTGCCAAAAGGGGTTTCATAACATTACTGTAGTTGTTTAGTAGTAATCACTATTGTTAGAAATATATGTGTGTTATAATGTAGCCATACCCAAGAAGTAGTTTAAAGTGTGCAAATAATTGTATGTGTATCTTTAATAGTTAAGTTTGGATTGCTATGTCATCTTTTTAGCAAGGGTTCATGTGTAGATGGTAATATACCCAAAAGATTAAATGCCACAAATTCACCACCACACCCTCAAAGACATTTTATGCTTTTTAGGCAAAATAACATAACTAAATCTGTATAGGAAAATAATAAGAAGACTATCATATGAAGACTAGATGCAGGATTTCCCTGTTAACCTGAAGATAGATATTTCTAGTCCCAGAGTGCCATCTAGTGATCAAGTCAGTTATTGATTATGTGTGCAAAATGTTAATCAATAAACAGAGCCACCAATGAGAAATAAGACAACACCCTCTGGGCGAATTTACAAGAGTTGTATTGTTTTCAATTAACATAAATAGCAAGCTAAGGTAGACAGAAAAAAAAAAACACACAGATGATCGATGATCTGAAAACACACTCATCATCTGGGATTGACACCTCACTGGACAGTCATCATCTGACACACACTTCATTGAAGCTGGTGTCAGGAACCATGAACCACGTGGAGACAACAAGTGCAGTTAAAATCACACCTTTAATGAAATACCAAATATTACATAGATCAGGAACGTAATCAAAACAGAAGCCAGGGTTTGGATGCCAGAGCAGGTTATCAGATGATCCAGAGTCAGGAAACCAAAAGTCAGCGCAGTCAGGAGGCAAAAATCAGGAATAGGAATCAAAAGGGAAGTCAGCCAGACCAAGATGTATACAGGAACACAGGCAGGAACACACTGGAGATCATAGACCATGCAAGGACAAGGAGGAAATGAGCTAAGCTGCTAAAACAGCAAAAGGAGCTGGCTGTAGGCTGGACTAGTGAGGCAGGTAAAGGTATCCAGGTGTGTCACTGTGGAGACAACAAGTGGCTGGTAATTAACCAACAGCTAAGCAGCTTCTGAGCACTGAAAGAAAAGAGCTACTCGTTAAGTAGCAGGAGCCCAGCCCTGACACTGGGACACACATCTCCAGCATAGCTAGATGCCATTTTGGGAAGACGTGTTCCACCCATTGATTTGCATCCATATTTGTGGATCTGGTCAGCAGCCATTTTAAAACCTACCTTTTCTATTTGGAGGCTAACTGTAGTGTATTATTCTCTTGGTAACAGGCCAATTGCAATATTTTTTGCTGTAATTTAATAATCCTCTCACAATAGGATAACCTCTAGAGTTAGATCTTCTTTCTGCAGGAAAATAATGGTTGGAAACTGTAAAATGCAGAGTATTGTCTGTCAGGTTTAGATATAAATGGTTATGCTGTCTAGGGAGGGGAAGTTAATTATTTAATTTAATCCAATATATATACAGTATATACCCATGCTTTAGCGGGGATACTTTAGGCAATTCATTGTGAAGATAATTTCAGTGTCTGTGCCAACCTCTTAATCCTACTGCTAGTGGTGTTTGTTAATCGACTTAGTAAAAATATATTTTTTTTGTTCCATAAAGGCTTTATTAGAGAATAAAAGTATTACATATAGTACAGAGTGTTGGTTATGTGTTAGAGAAGACACTGGTAGTGATGAGGCAGAATACAGACTTTACTTGTGTGGCTTAAGTTGCAAACAAACAGAGCACATTTCAGCAATGTATAACAGTGATGGCAGACATGTTTACTTCCTGAAGAGATGAGAGAGAAGAAAAGAACCAACAAGTTTTCAGATATGCACAACTGATAACCTTAGTGTACAGTGCCATCTACTGGTCAAGTGATATTAACATACAATACTATATATAGTACATTATAGTACATGCTGTTGCATTCCCAACACAGAGCACATATAGGAAAGTGATATGGTTCAAAATAACATTCCAAGAAGCAGTGGTTGAGTCAATGGTAAGGGATGGGTCAAGCCCAACAATACCAAAATGCAAGTGACCCCATATATTATGCGTAACAGTCTAGAACTAATGAATAATAAATAGGTAGATAATAAATTACCACATAGCAGGTGGAATTATATAGCACAGGTGATTAGAAAAAAAATAGGAGCAGAGGCCAGTAGAACCTGCAGGTGATTTTAGATTTGTGGGAAGTATGGCAAGAAAAAAATCTGAGCAGTAAAAATAAAAGAAAAATGTAATCTAGAGAGTGGGGCTAAAGGGTGTAAGAGAGAGGGGGGAAAAGGGGGTGTGTTGTTGATTGAGGGAGGGTAGGAGATGAGAGGAAAGGCGAGTGGGGGGGGCATCTCCCCTCCAGGACTTAGACAAAGCCACACGCAGCAATAAAAATGAGTATAAGAGGAGGAAGGATAAGCCCTTCATAGGTCGCCGCAGAGTGCCTTAGTATAATCTGCCGTCATTTTATAATGAATCCAGCACACCCATATCTTATTAAAATTGAGATCCTGTCCTGAGAGATAGGGATCAACTCCTCCGGTTCAGAGATTTTGTTAATGAGAGAAAACCACAGTAGGGGGTTGCGGGGGATCTCCAGTGGATGGGGACACAAAGCCTTGCTGCATTCACCATGTGATTTATTTATTTTTAAAGTCCGCATTCCATACATACACCCAATTTTATTGTGTTAGTCAAAGAATTTCTGCATTGGGCAAAATATCTTGGGAATAAATAATTGCCTAATTATTTTTTTATAAATTTGTTTTTGTATTGAAGGCACTGTTCATTGAACAATTAAACAATCAAGATAGCTGACTAAACTAATCGTTCAAACATTTCTTGACAGTTCCTTGAGCAATGTAAATGTACTATATGTCCCTTAGATAAGTTATCATCAGCACAAGGAGCTGTTTTAGCATTCTTCCTAGTGATCTCCAATGTCATGGGGCCCTTCTTCATTGACCACCAATGTACTTGAGTCTTTCCTCCACTGAATGCCAATCTAATGGGACAACTTTCTATTGACCACCAATGTAAATGAGCATTTCACTGGCCACCAATGCAAATGGGCACTTCGCTGACCACCAATGTAAGGGATCACTAACATTTTCATGGTCAGCACTTCTTTTCTGGCCACTACTAATATTTGTTTCATTTTCTTATTATCAGTGAGGAAAATTTTGTCATGTAGAGAAGCCCTGGGTGTCAAATACACAAAGTACATCATACATTACTTATTATTATTATTATACAGGATTTATATGGTGCCAACAGTTTGCTCTTTACAAAATGAAGGTAGACATTTACAATACAATTTGTACAAGAGGAAACAGAGGGCCCCGCTCCTTAGAGCTTACTTATTCTTTTATTTATTCCACAACTTACGTTCCACACTAATCAGTCTCATGAGCTGTAGATTTAAAAATAATTAGCAGTGGTTCCCTAAGACCTGAATGTTATTTAAAGGCTTCTCTGTTGTGTTGAGAAAGGCCGCTCTAGGCACTGGCCAATGGCATTAAGGTAAATAAAGCCTTGCACCCAGCTCACATTGCTGTGCAATGTATGCCAAGAAGGGATAAGCACAGCGCCTTTAGAAATATTGAATTTTCCGTCAACAAAATTTTGGCAAAGTGGTAACTCAGTTTTCCTATTGAGCTGCTTTGGTGAAATTTGCTTAAAAAAAAATATCTTCTCTTGCTTTCCTTCATTTAGAGGCTGTTTATATCATTTATTTTTTGGTGGGGTGTTTAGGTAGTTTAGTTTATGTTAAGTATTGTGTGTTTTTGTCGGGGGGGGGTAACGTTTTTTGTGCATTTGATCATTATTTTTGACATCTTAACATAACCACTTGCCCCCTGGAAGACTTACCCCCCTTCATAATTGGACCATTTTTTGCTATGTGGTGCTATGCTACTTTAATTGACAATTGCCCGCAATTGCAACGCTGTGCCCAAAAATAATGTATCGATTTTTTTTTGCACATATAGAGCTTTCTTTTGGTGGTATTTGATCACCTCTGGGTTTTTTTTATTTTTTATTATATAAAAGAAAAAAGAGGAACAATTTTGGTGAAATTTGCTTAAAAAAAAAAAAATCTACTCTGACTGGCATAGTACCACTAGATTGGCGAAAGGCCAATGTGGTGCCAATATTTAAAAAGGGGTCGTAATCTTTACCAAGTAATTATAGACCTGTTAGTTTAACTTCTATAGTTGGGAAGATATTGGAGAGTTTAATAAAAGACCACATAGATGAGTTCTTGCTGGAAAAAAAATATGTTAAGCAACAGACAGCATGGATTCATGAAAGACAGAAGTTGTCAAACAAATCTGATTTCTTTTATGAGGAGGTGAGCAAAACCTTGGAGAGAGGGGTGGCGGTGGGCGTGGTATACTTGGACAGAGGGGTGGCGGTGGACGTGGTATACTTGGACAGAGGGGTGGCGGTGGACGTGGTATACTTGGACAGAGGGGGGGTGGCGGTGGACGTGGTATACTTGGACAGAGGGGGTGGCGGTGGACATGGTATACTTGGACAGAGGGGTGGTGGTGGACGTGGTATACTTGGACAGAGAGGTGGCGGTGGACGTGGTATACTTGGACAGAGGGGTGGCGGTGGACGTGGTATACTTGTACAGAGGGGGGTGGCGGTGGACGTGGTATACTTGGACAGGGAGGTGGCGGTGGACGTGGTATACTTGGACAGAGGGGTGGCGGTGGACGTGGTATCTTAACTTGTACAGAGGGGTGGCGGTGGACGTGGTATACTTGGACAGAGGGGGTGGCGGTGGACGTGGTATACTTGGACAGAGAGGTGGCGGTGGACGTGGTATACTTGGACAGAGGGGGTGGCGGTGGACGTGGTATACTTGTACAGAGGGGTGGCGGTGGATGTGGTATACTTGGACAGAGATGGTGGCGGTGGACGTGGTATACTTGGACAGAGAGGTGGCGGTGGACGTGGTATACTTGGACAGAGGGGTGGCGGTGGACGTGGTATACTTGTACAGAGGGGTGGCGGTGGACGTGGTATACTTGGACAGAGGGGTGGTGGTGGACGTGGTATACTTGGACAGAGAGGTGGCGGTGGACGTGGTATACTTAGACAGAGGGATGGCGGTGGATGTGGTATACTTGGACAGAGGGGTGGCTGTGGACGTGGTATACTTGGACAGATAGGTGGTGGTGGACGTGGTATACTTGGATTTTGCAAAAGCGTTTGACACAGTTCCCCACACACGGCTAATGTGTAAGGTAAAGTCTATAGGCTTGGAAAAATCTGTATGTAAATGGATAGAAAACTGGCTAAAAGATTGTATTCAGAGAGTATGGTTAATGATTCATATTCTGAATGGTCTAGGGTCATCAGTGGTGTACCCCAAGGTTCAGTGTTATTAGTGGTGTACCCCAGGGTTCAGTGTTGGGACTCTTACTTTTTAATATATTTATAAATATAGGGTCTGGGATTATAAATCCCATTTCAGTCTTTGCAGATGACACCAAGCTGTGCAGTGGAATAACGTCCTTACAGGATGTCTCCAACTTACAAGTCGACCTCAGTGCTCTGTGTAATTGGGCAACTATGTGGCAGATGAGGTTTAATGTTGATAAATGTAAGGTTCTGCACTTGGGGGCTAAGAATATATGCATGCATCATACATACTAGGGGGGTACAACTGGGGGAATCAATGGAGAAGGATCTGGGAGTTCTGGTAGATCACAAGCTTAATAATGTCATGCAATGCCAAGCTGCAGTTTCTAAAGCGAGCAAAATCCTCTCTTGTATTAAAAGAGGTATAGACTCCAGAGAGAGATATCATTTCCCCCGGTACAAATCATTAATAAGACCTCATCTGGAATATGCAGTTCAGTTTTGGGCACCAATTCACAATAAGAACATTTGAGAACTGGAGAAAGTACAGAGAAGAGCAACCAAACTGATCAGAGGCATGGAGGAGATCAGCTATGAGGGAAGCTTAGAGGAACTGAATGTATTCTCTCTTGAGAAGAGGAGATTAAGGGGGGATATGATCTCCATGTATAATACATAAGGGGGGGATATGATCTCCATGTATAATACATAAGGGGGGGGATCCATGATCTCCATAAGGGGGTATATGATCACCATGTATACATACATAAGGGGGATATGATCTTCATGTATAATACATAAGGGGGGGATATGATCTCCATGTATAATACATAAGGGGGGATATGATCTCTCCATATATAATACATAAGGGGGGATATTGATCTCCATGTATCATAAGGGGGGATATGATCCATGTATAATACATAAGGGGGGATATGATCTCCATGTATAATACATAGGGGGGGATATGATCTCCATGTATAATACATAAGGGGGGATATGATCTCCATGTATAATACATAAGGGGGATATGATCTCCATGTATAAATACATCAGTGGCTAATATAGTGAACTCGGTGTAGAGTTATTCACCTTGAGGTCATCACAGAGGACAAGGGGGCATTTTTTACATCTGGAGGAAAACATTTTTTATCTCCAAATACAGAAAGGCTTCTTCACAGTAAGAGCTGTGAAAATGTGGAATAGACCCCCTCTATTGGTTCTGGCCAGCTCAGTGGTTTGCTTTAAAAAAGGCCTGAATTTTTTTTTGATACATAGAATATAACTGGATACTAACATTTGTAGGTAAAGTTGATACAGGGAGTATCTGATTGCCTCTCGGGGGGGGGGGGATCAATAAGGAATTTTTTCCCCTGCAGGAGCAATTTGGGTCATGCTTTGCTGGGTTTTTTTGCCTTCCTCTTGATCTATTGTGGGTGTAGGATTATACCTTTTTTTTTTTTAATGGTTGAACTGGATGGACTTTTGTCTTTTTTCAGCCAGACTAACTATATAACTATGTACTCTTGCTTTCCTTCATTTAGGGGCTATCATTTTTGGTGGAATGTTTAGGTACTTTAGTTTACGTTAAGTATTGTGTGTGTTTTTTTTCGGGGAGGGGGGGGGGTAACCCTTTTTTGTGCATTTGATCATTATTTTTGACATCTTAACATAACCACTTTTTATGCGGTGTTACGCTAATTTAACTGATAATTGCACTGAATTGCAACACTAGATCCAAACAAAATGTATAGCTTTTTTTTTCACACAAATAGAGCTTTCTATTGGTGGTATTTAATCACCTTTGGGTTTTTTTATATTTTATTATAGACAATTTCGGAAAAAAAAAATATTTTTTTTTACTTCCTGCTATAACACATATCACACAAAAACATTTTTAAAAAATTGTCATTTGTTGTGTTTGCAGCATATTTACTGAAATCAAAAGCTATTTCAATCAAACTTTTAACAACATTTTAACTTTTTAAACATTTTAACAGGTCACATTACATTGTAACATAGGACCCACTTATTTGATAGCCGCTTCACAAGTCTTCCAGCCATTGAACTTGTGAGTTTTTGGACAGTTTCTGCTTGAATTTGTTTGCAAGATGTCAGAATAGCCTCCCAGAGCTGCTGTTTGGATGTAAACTGCCTCCCACCCTCATAGATCTTTTGCTTGAGGATGCTCCAAAGATTCTCAATAGGATTGAGGTCAGGGGAGGATGGAGGCCACACCATGACTTTCTTTCCTTTTATCCCCATAGCAGTCAAATCTCTTAATAAATTGTGGCCAAAATGTATTCTGCTACATAATTTTGCTAAAAAAATCCCAATAAATTTATATAGTATTGATTGGATTGTGTGAAAGTTTCAGTGTCCACAAACTATGGATATATACTGGAATTTGTGTTATTACATTGATCAGTGCTAATAATATACACTGTCACTGCAGTAATGACACTGGGCAGAAAAGGGGTTAACATCTAGGGCAATCAAGGGGTTAAATATGTGCCTAACATGTGTTTGTGTGTGTACTGTGTGCTGCTTTTACTGCGGATCTGCTTAGCAGGGAATGAAAAATCAACCAGATCGCCTGTCAATGAACACAGCTTTTTTGTCAATGAACACAGCTTTTTTGTCAATGAACACAGCTTTTGCCTGTCAATGAACACAGCTTTCGCCTGTCTGGGGGAATGAACACAGCTTTACACTGACAGAGTTGTGTTCTATGAGTCTCAGAGCTGATCACTGAGTGCCTAAGGCCAATCACCGCCGGCACCCAGTAATTGGCATGTGTTGTGACAAATCTCAGCACAACTGGGCGGCATGCGCGCACGCACCCTTACCTGGAAATGCAGAATCACATTTATATATGTGATTCTAGACAGAGCGGCCACCCTTTAGCATTAAGCTACAATGTGCTGGTCTTTATGTCGATAATAAGGCTAATAATATTTCCTCCCCACGAGCCTCTTCCCTCGATTTCTCGGTCAGGATCAATAGCACTACTATCAACCCATGCCCACATGCCAGGGTGCTACGGGTAACCCTGGATTCTGAACTATCCTTTCAGGTCCACATCCAATCCCTGTCTAAATCATGTCACCTCAACCTCCGCTACATCTCCAGAATACGCCCTTTTTAACCAAAGATACCACAAAGCTCCTAATTCACTCCCTGGTTATCTCTCGCCTCGACTACTGCAACTCCCTCCTCAATGGCTTACCTTTACATAGGCTATCCCCCTTCAGTCCATCATGAATATTGCAGCCAGGCTCATCCACCTTACCAACCGTTCAGTGTCTGCTACCCCTCTCTGCCAATCCCTCCATTGGCTTCCACTTGCCCAACAAATAAAATTCACAATACCAACACAACTTACAAAGCCATCCACAACTCTGAGCCCGGCTACATCACTAACCTGGTCAAAAAAATATCAACCAAATCACTATCTTCGATCCTCCCAAGACCTTCTGCTCTCTAGTTCCCTTGTAACCTCCTCCCATGCCTCACTTCTCCGAGCTTGTCCCATCCTATGGAAGTTCCAAGAAAGTTAAAAAGAGATCCCGTAACCCTCAGCAGTCATTTAAAGCCCACTACATCTATAAAGAGACCCTTTCATAGCCATTCAGGGCAAAGGACAATATATGTGTGCAGTATTATAACTGCATTGTCTCAGCTAGTCTCCGGTACAAACTGTCATGGACTGGAGCAGGGGCGGACTGACAACTCATGGGGCCCCCGGGCAATAGGGGATCATGGGGCCCCTGTGTCCTTGCCCACACTCAAAAAAGCCTATGAAAAAGGTACCAGGGGCATCTCATGGGGCCCCCTACTGACCCCGGGCCCTCGGGCAGTGCCCCGAAAAATGGTCAGTTCGCCCCTGGACTGGAGACTCATGACAAAATTTATTACAGCAACTTTGAAAGCAGAGACCAAATCTTCCAACCTATGACTGTGACTATTGCTTTACAAAATGCCAGTGATTGCACAGATAATCAGCTGATGTTTGATCAGAGTTACTCAAGGAGAATTCAAAGACAAGATACTAAGGGGAAAATGCATTAGCAACTACTTACATATTTTACTATACTTTATTTGAACCTCTTATCATCATCAATTTTATATTCTGAAAAGTAGAAAGAGTAGATCTTCTGACTAGAATTTGCACAGCTGTTATGAATAATCCCAGTAATTTGTCTATTATGTTTTATTTCCTATGATTGTCAGATTTTTTGTCCTTCCATGACGCTTTTCATCACTCCCGGCTTGCTCCTAAGCTAGGAGTGGTAAAACACATCAAGAAAGGTTGATTTTCAGGCGGAGCCATGATGTATGCAGCCATTTTGTAGATAATTAAATAAATACAAGAAGAGCTGAAATTGGAGTGCAGCTGGTATATTTTTTTAATTTGATGGAGAGCCTAGATTGGCTATGGGAGCCAGCACACGGATTGTCCATGTATGGCAGGAAAAGCAACTCTTAAGCAGTGCTATGGATCTGGATCAGGGGCGGACTGACAACTCATGGGGCCCCCGGGCAATAGGGGATTATCAGGGGATTATGGTCCTTGCCCACACTCAAAGCACACCCCCAAAAAAGCCTATAAAAAGGTACCAGGGGAAATTCATGGGGCCCCCTACTGACCCCGGGCCCTTGGGCAGTGCCCAAGTGCTCAAATGGTCAGTCCACCCCTGATCTGGATATGTTTTTATTATGCACCAATCAGCCATAATGTTATGATCACTGGTAAAGTATGACCATGACAGGTAAAGTTCATAACATTGAATATCTCCTGAAAATGGCATCTGAAAGTGGGTGGGATATATTAGGCAGCAAGTGAACATGTTGGCCCTGAAGGTGATGTGTTGAAAGCCAAAAAAATGGGCAAGCATAAGGATTTGAACAATGACCAAATTGTAATGGTTATACGACTGGGTCAGAGCAACTACAAAACTGCAGCTCTTGTGGGATGTTCCCAGTCTGCAGTTGTCAGGACCTACCAAAAGTGGTCCAAGGAAAGAAAACGGTGAACCAGTGACAGAGTCATCGGCAGTGACCATGCTGACCCATGTCCACAGCCAAAAGCGCCTATAATGGGCACATGAGCATCAGAAATTAAGCACAGGAGCAACGAAAAAAAGGCCTCCAGATTCTGCAGATCTGAATCCAAATGAGCATCTGTGGGATGTGCTAGACCAGTGGTTCTCAACCTTCCTAATGCCGTGACCCTTTAATACAGTTCCTCATGTTGTGGTGACCCCCAACCATAAAATTATTTACCCAGTAATTATAATTCATGAGTGTCGTTTTACCTCCAATACTGCTACTTTCAACACAGTAGCTGCTTTTAACAGAGTAGCTGCTTTCAACACAGTAGCTGCTTTTAACAGAGTAGCTGCTTTCAACACAGCAGCTGCTTTCTACACAGTAGCTGCTCTTTACACATTGGAAATATGCGTTTTCTGATGGTCTTAGGGGACCCCTGTGAAAGGGTCGTTCGACCCCCAAAGGGGTCGTGACCCACAGGTTGAGAACCACTGTGCTAAAAAAACAATTCTGATCCATGGAGTCCCCACTTTGCAACTTACATCACATACAGGACATGCTACTACTAATGGCTTGGTGCCAGATTGCACAACATACCTTCAAGAGATCTAGCGGAGTCCATGCCTTGACAGGTCAGGGCTGGTTTGGCAGAAAAAAGGGGATCAACTCAATTTTAGGTAGGTGGTCATGTTATGGTGGGTGGTCATAATGTTATAGCTGATCGGTTTAACTTCCATTTATCTACCTTGTAATGAATTCTCCTTCTCATATGAGCACGGAACTTTTGTAGATATAATTCTTTTTTTCTTCTGTAAGCATTTACAAAAACATTTGATACATTGTAGAATATGCATGCCTTAATAAATAAAGTCATAAAATAAGCTACCCTTAATACACACCAATAATAAAGGAAATAAAGGAAAAAAAAGTAGAGGTTTTAAAGTACATTTTACCAAACCTCTTCTACCTTGGAGAAATTTCATTGATCAGTAAATTCATTGCAAAATCAATGTATCGAAAATCACCCCATGCTCTAGTTAAGAGATATAAAAAACACAAAAAAAAAACCCTATATATAATATGGCTGAGGTCAGTAGACCCCACATATGCCGGAAATATCACCTTATACTAACTGGCCATTAAAAAAAAAAACTATTAGTCCAGTTGTATATTTTAGTCATGTTTTTCTATTTTAAATGCTCTAATAAGACAACTGTCGTTTGCTCCAAACTTCCAATTTGCAGCAACATTGCTAGTTTGTAACCTATCTCCTGTAATAGATGACAGCCCCAACTGAATGAAGTCCACAAGGTTACAATTAATTACTGTTAAAGTGGCAGCACAGAGCAATAAATGAATTTGATTTGGCAGAGGGTGACACTAATTGTTTTTTAAATGGGAATAAAGAAAATGGTTGTGACAATAAATGTCACTAACATGCCCCACAGAAATACATGTGAGCATCACCCAGGCTACAGAAAAAAAGCTCCATAGAAATGCAGCATCATCATAAATACAGCCTACAAACATGTAAACAATAACCTTCTCAAATACCCTGAAAATTGTACTGAAATTCAGGCATTTAGATAAAATGACCTTTGCATAGTTAAAAATCATCACTTTGTGTTGAGTTAAAAAAGAAGAAAAACCCTAAACGTGTAGGTGATCCAGAAGAAGACAAAAACTGTTAACCTCCCTAGCTGTCTGATTATGTCAGTATTTCTGTGCTCAAAGCGGTAAATTTTTTTGCATGGAAATATGTATTTTTTGTTATTGTAGGCCTGTAATTTTTAGGAATAACTCACTGAAATCTGTCCGAACAAGAGTCTAGTAAACATCCCGGGGATGATAAAATTTGAAACACGAAATCATAAATTATAATTTAATAAACAATCATCAAAAATAATAATATAATAATAATCGGACTCCGATCCATTATGCTCAATCCGCAGATCAGATCCATCCTGTGGGGATCGTCGGCTTGCTTTAAAACTTACCTTTTTGTGGAGAGATCAGTTTAACCCCGTATAGGTTGCAAGCCGATGGTCCCAGCAGGATGGATCGGATCTGCAGATTGGTGAGCATAATGGATCGGACGCCGATCCATTATGCTCAATGCTCCCTGCCTAGGGACAACACTGGGATGGAGCATGAGATTTGCGCCATGCCCTGGCTATAACAGCACCTGCAAAGGTTAAAAAGTGTTGGAGAAGATATTTTTCATTTTTGTTTATAGGATCTGGGCAGCATTGAAGTAAAGAAATTAGAGGCAAGTTATTGAATATATTTCTAGAACTAAGTCATAGTATATGTGTAATATTTTGTCCCAACAAAACTCTCTTACAATTAGGATTGTTACCCCTACCCTCAGGGGCGGACTGACCATTTGGAAACTCGAGCACTGCCCGAGGGCCCGGGGTCAGTAGAGGGCCCCATGAGATGCCCCTGGTACCTTTTTCATAGGCTTTTTTGAGTTTGGGCAAGGACACAGGGGCCCCATGATCCCCCTATTGCTGGGGGCCCCATGAGTTGTCATTTCGCCCCTGCCTACTCTGGATTTCTTTCACTAACATGAGCAGTTATCGGATAATTAAAAAATAGTTTTAAAGCTAATGTGTAGCATTGTGCTGCTGCAAAAACATCAAAGCATAAAAAAACATAACATGAAGTCCAAAAACACATATGTGATGCTACAATGTAAAAGTCCAAAAAAAGAAACACATAGGAAAAAAACTCTTCATATTTTTTTCACATGTGATGTACACACATTTTATGTGTTTGCAGCAGCTTGTATATCTTTATACCTATTTTTTGTGCTATATTATGGATTTTTTTGGCAGCGCACAATTTTCTCACTTTTTTACAATTAAAAAGTAGTGATGGGCCAAACACCCCCTGTTCGGTTCATGGTCAAACATTCGAACCTACCGAAAGTTCGACCGCAAACTTCGAACAGGGACAATTCACTAAACAGTATCTTACCACACCCAAGTATGAGGTTATTTTATTATGCGGTATTTTTTATGTAGTGAAACATTCTTTAATGTTCAGCTGTCAGCGGGGTTCCCCACTGACAGCTGAATGTAAAAAGAATTGCTGCAATTTAAACATTTTTTTAAAAATGGCGGAAGGTCACCCTCCCATCCATACCAAGACCTTTGGGATTTTTGAGTGGAACCCCCATGCCAAACATTTTGTAAAAAATCCATACCAGACCATTATCTGAGCATGCAGCCCAGCAGGTCAGGAAAGGGGGGGACAAACTGCGTTATGCTGTTACACAGTTAATATTTATGTTAATGTAGAATGAGAATTCATATAGTTTATTTTTTGTACCATTTCTTATGGGGATTTCTATAGTTAGTTATGCTGCAATCCAGTGGCCTTATTTGGTAATGCATTTGTTTTATATTACCTCCCTGAGATCTATGACACAGTTCCTTTGTATATGAAGCTCCTCCCTTCTTCTTGAGTTCAGCACTTCCTGTGTCATGGAGGCAGCTAACAGACCACATGTAACAGGGACACATGTATTCTGCATAGTACGCTACGTAAAGAATCATCTTTTGACCGCATAATATTGGAAACCATTCACTCTGCTGTATCCTGTTGTCACATGTACAGAATAAAGCAACTTCAAGGATGAAACACGTATTGGTGAGTTCAAGCTATGTGATAAGGATTGCCCACAGTGATTATATCTGCTTATACAGGCTAGGCAGAGAGGTCTCACAAGAGATAAAATCGCTATCACAACAATCTGAGTCAGAATAAGCGTCCCCCCCCTCCTGAACCATACCAGGCCACATGCCCTCAACATGGGGGGTGCTTTGGGGCAGGGGGACTCCCCCCCAAAGCACCTTGTCCCCATGTTGATGGGGACAAGGGCCTCTTCCTCACAACCATGGCCATCTGGTTGGGGTGGTCTGCAGGCGGGGATGCTTATCAGAATCTGGGAAACCCTCTTTAACAAGTGGGCCACTAGATCCCGGCTTCCCCCTATGTGTGAGTATGGGGTACATGGTACGATACTCATTCAACAAAAAAACGTTATTTGTGTAGTGTAACAAGTCCTTTATTAAACAACAAAAATAAAAAAAAATTACACCCCAAAAGTAGATTCAACTTCAATCACGATGCCCACTGCCACCGCTGACCTGAAAAAAGGAAAAAAAAATGCTCCGCTGTCTACGCTGGCTCCTGCTGTCAGACAGCTGCGCTGGCCTGACACACGTCTAAAATATCTAAGAGGTGTGGCCACCCGGTGGCATCAACCGGGTGACCCCACTCCTTGTGACGTCATCATGTGCAGTGACTGGCCAAAGCATTGCACCTGACCTGTGGTGGTGTGCATTTCTTTGGCCAATCACAATGCATTGTCAGGGCGCAGTGCATTGTAGGGTGTGGAGGGCAAACAGCTCGCTGAATGCCCTTACTGTTCATGTGTTCAGCGAAACACAACGAAGGGCTGATGTTTGAGTCGAACTTCTGTTCAACTCCAACATCAAGCCCAACTCTATTACAAAGTTACAATCCTACAACTCTCCCACATATCCTCCATGTCATCAAAAATGGAAGGAGTACACTATAAACTTTCATCCCGATGGCACAATACCAAATTAAATGTGCTCTCAAACCATCGCTGGTCTGCTGAAGGGATAGCGATATGTGCCCATATCTGGTGGGAATGCCTAATCATCCAGTCCTTTTG